CCCCCCCCCCCCCCGCCCCTGACGCCACCGGCTGCTTTTCATACTCCAGCAGAAGGAGGAAGCGACGTCAGGGCGTGTTGCCGAAGCGCTAAATCCGTGGTGTTGTATGCTATCTAGGGCGGAGGCAAAGTTCCAGCAGCAGCGGCTGGCCGCAGTCCCCGCTGCCTCGCTGCACATCAGGGCAGCTCTGCTGCTTCGCCTTAACGACCGAATAGAGGTCGGGCACAGCAGTGACTGCCTACCTACCGTATCCAGTACCGCAGGCAGAGGCTCTCTTTGGCTTTCCATATTTCGCTCAAAGTTAGTAAACCTGCACCGAGTATGCTTCGTCTATCTGCGGGATGGGAATGATGTTTCTTTGTTGTTTGGTGTGGGTGGGTATCTAACTCTAATTGTTCCTCCGTTTCCCGGTTTCCCGCGGTACTGTTTGGTTGGGCAGCGCGTGTTGCCGGTGATCGACTTGGCGTCGAGACAACCAGACAGCTTAGGCTGGCAACTTCGCGAGATGAACCACTTGGTTTTGCCGCACATCAAGGTGCCGGTGTTGGAGGCTGCTCTCATCGCCACACAGGTACGGCTCGTTCGTGGGCAATGACAACCATTCGCCTCCATGGTCCAGATTTCATGTGTGATTGGTCCGTTTGTGTTCCCGGTTTTCAGCATGGTGTGGGGAACACCTGTTGGCGTCGACGGTGTCGTCCGGTTCTGTCCTGTCCGACTTGGGAATCGATCGGTCTTGCACACCTCATCTGGTCTGGTCTGGTATTTCCGACCTCATGACTTACTGACGCTCTTCGACACGTAATAATATGATACAGGAATATCATTCCCATCATGTATGTTATTTTTTTGTCTGTGAGTTGGCAGCGTAGGCAGCACGACTCGTGACATTAAACCTGAGATTTCGCCCATTTCGTCTCCTGCGTGCACGAATAGGGCCCTGGGGACGGTGTCGCCGTGACTCTGGACAACATCAAGGCCATGGTTTCTCGAGATCGCGGGGAAAGGGACCTAACGTCGAGCCAGTGCGTGTTCGCGCAAGCGTATAGTCAGCTGTGTGACACAGACCCCAAGTTTTTGCGGACGGTGTGGGATGGGGAGCGTGTGTTTCAGGTGAGGTTGGCCCGGCCTTTAAAGTCGCGCGCAGCGCCGACTTGGTCGAACTGGGTAAGACGAGCGAAGCGAGCACTTAGCCCACCGCAGGCGGAAATTTTTTGGTTCGTCTTAATGCATCATACACGTCTAAATGCGTAGGGAGTTTGTATTGCGTTTTAACGCGTCCAAGTATTGTATATCTCGGTGCGACAGAATAACGTCTGACAGCATCATCAGTGGTATTGTGCATGATGGTTAATGTTGATGTCGACCAAAATACCTTTGCGCGCCCCCTATGTATTATGTACATTGAGCGCTACGTACATACTAACACACGCTAACAACTTCCTCCATAGTTTTTTGTTTTTTGTTTAAGGGGGCAATAGCATTGTTGGTAGTAAATGACTGTGTAGTGCGCCATAATACGAGGTAACGTTCATCTGTGCCTGTCGACAGCCAACAACAGATCATACAACAAACATACGCATAAATACTATCTGATGACTATCTATGTACAGCAATACTCTCCGTTGATGGTTCACAGAAGAACCTGCGTTAAACAGCAAATAAATACATCAACTAAAACCAGCACGCTGTTGTCATAAGGAAGACACGGCGCCGCGTTCCCTGTGAAGGTTACACTTAAATATGATATGGAGTAAATGTTTTGAACTATGACATATAATAATAACGGTGAGCTATAGACTTTTCTTCACTATTTTGTTGTTGACCCACTAGAGAAACAGGGAAAATGTATCGATTTTTCAAAGAATCGTTGCAAGAGACGGTAATAATCTGAGTACGTACCCGCGGGAGTGCCAGCAATAAGGCGCATGCACGCCAGTTGCAACGTAGCAAGCAGACAAACACATAGACACCAATCTGGGCGAACCCTTAGTGGTTTAGCCAGACTCTTTAAACGAGCCACGAGCGATAACTCCACACCCATACTAATATGAGAGATAACACCACACCAATACTAATATGAGAGATAACTCCACACCCATACTAATATGTAGTTAATATGGTCCCCACCAACGACACAGGGAGGGGTGGAGGGCGTTCCTCCTGCGTACACATGATCATCATGTATGTGCCGTCGTATTTGTAGGAAAAGTGACACCGCCTCCACCGCCGCGTTGCCGCCAGGGCTGGTGCGGTCGAAATGCCTTCATGTGGTGTGTGGCGTGTGTGAGGGTGTTAGGCTATGTGTCGTACACAGATGACAAGGTAGTAGAATATTTGAGTGCAAACATGCAAACATCCTTCCTTCCATTTTGGAGGTACTTCTTCGGAGAATGGAAGGGAGAGAGGGTTGGAGAGAGAAGAGATGGAGGACTGAAGGACGCAAGGCGGAAGAGAGAGATCTGTTCTTTCCTGCGTTTCACGTCCTGTGAAGTCGTCGAGACAGCTCCTTAGCAGTCACTCAGTCGCATCCCCCATTGCGTTAGACGACTGTAAGACGTGCCTAGTCGCTATATTGGGAGTTAGACGTGCCTCTCCTGTGAAAACGGACTATGACGTTTTCTAAGACACGCCTTAAGAACTAAGACACGTCTTAGAAGGCTGGGCCAAAGGTGAGGTCACCAACCAGTTACGCTGAGACACGAGGTGTTCGTGATGTTGTACCCCGCAGCCTTTGTATATTGCTTTTTACTATTGTTGAACGCAAGCTCGAGTATATACCTGTTTCGAATAACCGTAGCTTTGCTTTGTTTTGTTTTCTGTTGTGTTTACGCCATTCCCGCACTCTTGTCTGTCTGCATCAGATCAACTTTGTGGGAGAGGACGGAGTTGATGCTGGAGGTGTCTTCCGAGAGGGTATGTCGCGCATGGTGGAAGACCTTTTCTCGCAGGATTTCGACCTCCTGGTGCCATGTCCCAACGGACGGCATGCCGTGGGCCAGGTGTGTGGTTCCGCACCGCCGAGAGAAAAAGAGCAAATCTCACCGTTCGAACCTGACGCGTTGATTTTGTTACAGAGCACGCCGGTGGCGGAGGTATTTACGCCTTCAGGTCGTGGTGTTCTTATTCTCCTGTGAGACAGCCTTTCGCCTTCACGTGGTCGTGGTGGCTTGCTGTTATGATATGATAATATGATAATGATATGATCATGATATGATCATGATATGATGATATGATGATGAAATGATAATTATATGATAATGATATGATAATGTTATGATATTGCAGTACAGGCCGTGGGCGCCACTTTAATACCGCTATGGCTTGACTTGGCTGCAAGCTGCACGCTGGTGTTTCTTTCCGTGGCGCATCCGACCTCATCAGCCGTTGTACTGAACATCACGAGAGGGGAAGGGGGAGGGAGGGGGGCGTACTCTTATGTTTTGCATGCCTTAGCGGTTAGACCATTGACCACGCGTCCTCGAGAGGACGGAGCATTGTTCCCACAGGACCGTCACCGATGGCCAATCGTTCCTTTCTACTTTGCCAAAGGTGGCTCAAGAATGTCTTCCCTAGTCTGTCTATCCTAACGATATCCCCTCGCGCCTTTTCAACCCACCACCTATGCCCCAGTGCAGCTATCGTCCTTTCCTCTCTATTCCATGCCTCAAACATCTCCCTGTACGTTGCATCTATTTTTCCCAGCTCAGTCACGTACACTTCCCTCTCCTTCTTGTACAACGGACATTCCGCGACTACATGAACACGGTCTTCGCATTCGAAGCCGCAATCACATTTGAACTCGTCGTCTTCCTCGTCTACCGTCCTATGTCTTCGTCGACGTTCTCGAAGGCCTATGTCCCCGGTCCTGAATTTGACCTTAAGCTTTGTTCCTGCATCCATTGGTCCATGTAGGTAGTCCTTGAACCCTACTCCTTCCTCCAACATTCCGTACACTTCTAGACCCTCCTCATCCTTGGATTCTTTTCTCGTATTCTGCTCTTCTCTCTCGGCACAAGCAACAGATATGTTGTCCTTGAACCCCTGTAAACCCTCCGTTTCCAGCGTTTCATCTTCGTCGATGTCGAGCCCCTTCCATACGTCCTCTACAACCTTGACCCATTCCGTGGGTTGTCTACCCCTCTTTTTGTTTGCCCACTTCGCCTCCCATACAATTCTCGGCAACCTCTCCTCTCCCATCCCGCACATGCGATACTGCCAGGTCAGCTTCCTCGCGTCTCTTCCCGACCGTAGGGATTGGATCCCCAATTCTGCCCTCACGGCTGCATTACTTGTGCGCGTGGAGCATCCTAGGATGATTTTCGCTGCTTTCATCTGCGCCGCCTCGAGTTCTTTCACTACCTTCTTATTTCCTTCCCATACTTCTCCGGCGTACTCTAGCGGCGGTACGATTACGCTCTTCAAAACCGTCAATTTGATGCGTGTATCGAGGTGCCGGTTTGCGAGTATTGGGTGCAGCTTCCCTGCTCGTGCTTTGCCCTTTTCCGCTACCTTGGACATGTGTGCATTCCACGAGCAGTCTTTTGCGATCTCTCCTCCGAGGTATGTGTACTGGTCCACTACTGCAATCTCCTCGATCCCCCACTTCCATCTATGTTCTACTGGTTCCTCCTTGTTCTCGTTGCATACCATGACGGCACTCTTCTGAACGTTGGCAGACAATCTCCACTTATCAGTAAACTTCTTCGCCGCGTCAATTTGCAGTTGCAGTCCCTCAGGGGTGTCCGACATACCGACAAAATCATCCGCAAACAGCATTCCTGAAACCGACGTTTCCGTGTCCCCTACTTTTACTCCCTTCCGGACTGCCTCTACGACTTCCAACAGATCGTTGATGAACACCTGGAACAATGTTGGGGACAGCGTGCAACCTTGTGGGACCCCCTGCTCAATGTCGAAGAATTTTGACAGTTCTCCGTCTAGCATGACCGCGCTTTTCGTACACTCTGTCATCTTCTTCAGCACTCTCCACATTTTCCCCTTGATCCCGTATTTGGACAGTTGTTTCCACAACCCATTTCTCCACACGGTGTCGTATGCCTTTTTCACGTCCAGGAAGAAGCAGTACGTCGGCTTTCCCGCCCTCTTTCTACCTTGGATGATTCTCCCTACCGTGAACACGTGGTCTACGCACCCCCTCTTCTTGCGGAAACCTGCCTGGCCCTCACTCATGCTATGTTCCTTCTCCAATACTCCCACTGTCCTATGGTTCAGCAGCTTGCAGAGCACTTTTCCTACTGTGTTCAACAGTGTGATCCCCCTGTAGTTTCCTGGGTCAGTCTTGTCTCCTTTCTTAAACAAGTTCACAACCACTCCTTCCCTCCATCTACTTGGCGTATACTCGTTTTTCCACACCCAATTGTATAGCAGTACCATCAGCTGGATCATCCCCTTCCCCCCAAACTTCATGAACTCGTTGACTATCCCATCCGCTCCTGCTGCTTTGTGGCACTTCAGCTTGTTCACACACGCCTCAACCTCGTCCTCAGTGAACTCCTTTTCTAGTTCTACGTTCCCAACGTCTGCCTTCGATGTCTCTTCTTCTTTTTGGGCCCATGCGTTCACCTCCTTCTTACACACTGGGTCAGAAGCATCATTCTCCGAGGGCACTCGAAGTCTCTTGTGTTGTCCTGCTAGAACTTCCCCTTTTCCCTTCCCACTGCTGACCCACCGTTCACACCTCGCAAAGTTGCGACCCTTGTATCCCTCCCTTGCGCGGTCTTTTTTACCATTCCACCAATCCATTCCCACATCTGCTTGACGTTTCCCTCCAGGCCTCCGTTGGCCTTCTGCACTACTTCGTCCCAAATACACTTTTTCTTCTTTTTCACTAGTCCCTTCACCTGTTTTCTCTTGGCCCTGTACTTTCCCCAACTCTTCTCAGACGCCTCACTCAGGTACTGCTTGAAGACTTCTCTACATTCCCCTGTTTCTTTTTCAGCTCGTCATCCCACCACTTGACCGATACCCCACATCGTACCACCTTCTCTCCCACCACTCTCTCAAGCCGTTGTGTTCACTATGGACTCCCACCCTTCAATCACCCTGTTCCCTACTGCTTGTACGTACCTGTCCGTCCTCGACGCTTCTCAAGCAGTTTCCTGAAGGGTTCTACACTACGAGCAGTCCCTTCTGGAACNCACCTTCTCTCCCACCACTCTCTCAAGCCGTTGTGTTCACTATGGACTCCCACCCTTCAATCACCCTGTTCCCTACTGCTTGTACGTACCTGTCCGTCCTCGACGCTTCTCAAGCAGTTTCCTGAAGGGTTCTACACCACGAGCAGTCCCTTCTGGAACTCATCCCGTGTCCCCTCGTCTTCCAAACGCTCTACTTTCCACCGGAACACTTTCCTCTGTTTCTTACTCTCCATCTTTCTAGATCGGTCGATGTTTGCCCGTATGAGGAAGTGGTCGGTCGAACCTGTATCTATCGCATA